AGTCTTTGAGAACCAAGTTATTTTGCTGAAAACAAGGTAGTCCTCAGGTTAAAAAAAAATGACACAGGAGAAAAAGGTTGGTAACATCCTCTATTTCCCAGAGCAATAAGCAGGAAGAAAATAATAGTAACAGAACTCCTACTGTGATACTGTTTTCAAAAAAATGCTAACAGAGAGAACAGAGAGAGAATTTCCACTGCTAATGTTTCCTCAGGACTAATGCATATAATTTCTGCAGCTTCTCTAGAATGGTGATGTGGAGCTGGACAGACAAAAAATGGCCCACTGCTATTAGTGAAGACCAAGGACACATCTACGCCGAACAACCCACCCCAGTGAAAAAATCCCAGTGACTGCTGAATAAATTAAAGGTAAAATCAGATGGCTTTTTGAAGCCTAGGGCTGTGCCTAGGGTCATGCTCAGACAAGCAGCAATACAACGACACGGAGCCTAGGACTAAGAAGTCTTATCTGAAGTAGATTAGGCAAGATTTGTGCCTAGTTGCAATGGCTTAATGGAACTGGAGAACTACTGGCTGCCAGCGGACAGTTTTGCAGCTGTTCCTGAAAGCTGCTCTTGACCAGCTAATTGTCAAAACGTAAGTCCTAAGCCATGCTCTTCTCTCTGGAATGGGCAGCTGCCACTCCAGGTACTCCTGTAGTACCGACATGGCACAGACACGGCAGGACGCTGCACCACGGTCTTGCTTCACGAGGCACTGAAGCAGATCGGGAAGTAATACAAGGTAGCTGGCGTGTCTCATGATTTTGCGTTGCAGTCATTATTGTACGTGTTCTTTGCTGAGCATTTATCAAGTGAGGTGAAAGATTTTATCAAAATTTGTGTCTCTGATTTCCTTCCGTAAGTCAGAAGACCTCAAAGGACTTGACAGCAGCAGCACACGTGAGTTTAAATGCAAAGTGAGTTGCCTCTATCATAGGAGTAAACAGCAGGTGCAAGGCATATTTTTTCTTTTCCTTGGCAATCCTGAAAGTTTGTGTGCTTGGATCCATACTTGAAGACATTTATTTGCTAAGGAAGAAGCATAAGAGCATCTCCTGGTTTCTCCTTAGCTCATAATTTGCAGCTGTGATGGAAGGAAGACTGCTGGACTTTGTTTCCTGCCAGACAACAAATTAACATTGTCATCAAAAAATGGACCAAGTCCCTACACATAAAATTAAAACAGAAGATTACTGCAAATAGTTTTAAGCTACTGCTTTCTTCAGTAATATTTATACTGAATATATATGCACGAAGGGAAGAGCTATAGGCATGCCACTTACAGGTACCGCTGTGACCAGAAAATTTATTCTTCAGGCAGTTTTACATGAACAGTGACTGCCTATGCAAATTGCTCAAAGGACTATCTTTGAATGGCGTTATCTTCTTCATATGTCAAGTAAGTTTATTAATCAAGGTCAAGTTCAACTTCCGGAAAAAGTTGAACAGATCTCAACAGGTCTGTCTCAAAATGATGGGACGTTTTCAGACATACAGTCAGGATAGTGCAGCTGGCTGACTATCAAATTTATTCCATGACAAAACCCAAAGACCAAACCCCTCTTCCCCAAGAGCACTCAACAGCACTTTCAATGAATAAGATGAAACAAATCTGTTTTACAGGTTTCCAAAAGGTAACCCAGCTTAAGGAACATACTGTTCGTTTGTATCTTCAAAACAAGGAAAATGTAAGGTTTGAACATTTTGGCAAGACTTAGTTTGCAATGAGAACAGCAAGTAAAACCTAGAACTCGTGTGGTATTTTTGTGAGATTTGCCACAAAGACCCGAGGAGAAAGCCCTGACAGACCTTGGCTGAAGGAATCTTAAGAACATCATTGCTCATGTTGCAGAAAGCCAGTGTTTCGCTATCTGGCAGAGCAGTTATAATAGAGCTGGACTGGAACTTGAGCTAAAATCTATACACCAGCTGCACAACTAACAAAACGATTTCAACGCTCTTGAGAACCACTTAAGTACCCGCCACCAAAGGGTTATCTTTAAATTTTCTTACCCTTCCTAGCAATCTCATCTCTGAGTTCCTCCAGAAGAAATCTGCCTATTTCTAATGTTGGTATTACCTTTATTTCTTTCAGGCTCAGGCACTGTGGATCTGTAACAGGTATTCCATGAAAAGTGAAAACTGAAAAAGCAGTATTATACACTGAGGAGAAACAAGGCAGTAAATCTGGATTCTCTTCTAATCTAATAATATGAGCAAATACTGAAAGACTGAGAAGCAGAAAAAAAGTAAGTGTGATTTACATATTCATTAAGTAATTTGTATAATCAGAAGATTTAAAAGGTCATTACTGGAACACCTGCCTGTTAGCAGGTGTAGAAGACTGAAGGCCAAAGAACACAGTTTTTATAGAGATGTTGATAGATAAACAGTTGGCAGACCTGCAGATGCCTGCTGTGGCAGCATTAGCCTTTTTGGCTCAGGCTACTGTTGTGGATAAGGTAAATCTTCTGGAATTCATGATTCCATACACATAGTGCAAAGCCTGACAGTTGTTTATTAAGAATTCGATTGCTTTTAAATATCAACATTCCAGCTAAATAAGCTTTTATCAAGTAGGGAAGTTTTATGCGAAGAAAATTTGATGTGAAGTGGGATAAAGGTAGTTCATTGCACTTGACGGAGCAGATACTAGGGAAAAAAATCTGACAATCTCTTACGACAGAAAGAAAACCAGCACAGTAGATGCCTGTTTAGATAGATGGGGGAACAGCACTGTGCACAAATCCTAATCAAGAGTGAGGAGTCTCTCTTAATTTGGCTAAATTTATTAATCTCCATTTCAGGGCCACTCAGTAACATTGCAGACCTCAATAAACCATTTGCATAGACACACAGTGAAAATCACCTCACTTACTTGTAGGTAACCGAGTGTTAGGTATCAAGGTCTAAACTGGTCACCATATGCTACTTTTGTCTGCAGCTAAAACATTTTCTGGGGATTCCTGTCAGATCTCCTTCTAAAATAGACAAAAAAATAGTGTTATGAGCTGTGCTGGGTTTGGCTGGGATGGAGTTAATTTTCTTCATAGTAGCTAGTAAGG